GTTCAAGGCAAGATCCTGAATGTGAATGTCAGCATGTGTAGACAGATGCTTATATACCTTGGTCAGAGCATGTGATAAATCACATGTATACCCTGCTTTTGTTTAACTTTTTTATTGGTTACTTAACACAACTCATTTATAGTCCCCCTGACACAGGGAGAGGCCCTCACATTCATTAAATTGTTTGAGCTTGCTTTGTTGACGAGCTAGGGTGGCCCTTAAAAGTTATTGCATCACTTAATGAAAAGAAATTGCTGTGCTTTCAAAAAGTCTGAGCATACCAGACTCAAAATAGAATTCATCATATTTAGGCATATTACATCAATCATGTTTGGTGTAATTCAGTATTTATGCCTGTTTTTTTCTTGGATTGGTATGCTTCACTTACAAGTTAAAAAAATGGGTCAAATTAAATGTTCCATAGTCTGTCATATTCTTTTAAAGCATCTTATATTCTATCCTAAAGAGGAAATTATTTATCCCTTTTGGGGATAAGAAAACAGAAACATTTGAAAACCAAGAAACATAAAACTCGACTGCTATGAACACCAACAAAGAACTCTAGAAAAAAGTGTCTATTTTTAAATTTTAGAACATCATAACTAATATTTTACTTTGCATATTCTTTTGACAAATTAAGAATCATTTTGTACTTAAGTGGTGAAATAATATTTATACATAATTTTATAAATGAAAATTCATAGTTTACACTAGAATTTGTTTTTTGTGTTGTGTAGTTCTGTATCCTTTGGTAACCATGGGACAACATTTTTCAGAAACTGAGGTCAAAACACAATAGTCAAAAAATTATTTCAGAAACAGCTTTAAAAAATGATCTTTTATTATCTCCATAGTTTTCCTTCTTTGGAATATCATACACTCTTGTGGACTTTCTACACTGACTTCTTTTGCTTAGCAATTTTCTCTTAAGACTTTTCCATTCCTTGATAGTTTTTTTTTAGTCACTAGATGGCATTTTACTGTATGGAAGTGCCACAGAATGTTTATCCATTCACTTCTTGAAGGGCTTGTTGGTTGCTTTCAAGTTTAGGCAGCTATGAATGAAACTTCTACAAACATTGTGTTTAGGGTTTTGTGTGCATACATTTTCAACTCATTCAGGTAAATACCAAGAAGTACGATTGCCTCTGTTTTCTATTAGACTTTAGGCTATGGCAGCTAGGTGAAATTGTGAAATATGTAAAATGTATTTTTGTCACTCAACAATTTTCATTCAATCTATAATTATGTCCTTCCTCTTCCTTCTTGTATCTTTACCTTTACCATAACAACTTTGGCTTTGTATTACTTTTGCCTATTCCGTTTTTTATTTTTATTTTTATTTTATTTTGTTTTAAATATGTAGGGTACAATCCAGGATTAGGTACATAAGTAAGTGGTTATCAAACAGGTGAAGTTTTGGCCTCCTATTGGTCCTCACTTCACCTGGTTTGGGATCAGGTACCCTTATTAATGTTACATGCCACCTACCTCCCTACCGCCACTTATTCTGTGATCAACTACTGTGTGTGTGTTTTTTTAACGTTTCTTCTCAGAAAATACCATACTGGTCTACAAACCTGCAAAATGTTTATTAATGTTTATTAAGGTAAAAAAGATAATTTAAATTGAAGGACTTTGTGAAATTCGGTAAGATGCTATTAACATTAGAAATGTCTTCAGGATCTCCAAACATAGGTATAATATAAAAAATAAAGGATGGAAAAATATATATATATAAAAGTCCCTCAGCTTACTCTGAGAAATTAGTGACTTTCAACATCAGCTTATTTCACATATGGTTGTTTCTTCATTTGTGCCCTTAACTTTAGCCTAGAGTCTTTAAATTCTTGATAATTTTATAAGATCTCAATTATAGTGATCAGTTATTTCTAAAGAATTTTCAAATGCTGTGTTTTCACAACTGGATGTGTTCACCTCTTTGCAGTAATGATCCTGTAGTAGCAACAGAATAATTAAGTGTTGAATAGTGTTGAATGAATGAATGAACTCTAAAGTCTTTAAAAATAAACATAATGCCTTTTATAGACATGGATAATTCTCTGACTATATCTGAACAATAAGGATTTAAAGAAGAAATGAACTCCAATGGCTTCTGACTTTAGAAAAACATAACATCTTCATTTTATTTCATTGGCATTAGCTCCTTTTTGAAATATAATGTATACTACGATGAATTATATTATAATATAAATTTAACATTTGATGATTGTTGAATATATCCATACACTACCTACATAAAATATACCTTCATCCTTAAAATATTTACAATGTTCTGTTTTGGTCAACAATGTTGACCAATGATATTCCTCAGCGCTAACTATGCTTCTAACTTTTAACACCAGCTTCAGAAGATCTTGCCGCTAGTTTTTCAAAATGGTTTTTAATTTTGCAGTCCAATCAGAAATGTTAGAGAACTTTAGCTGCTCCACATCTTTGACATTTCATTGTCAGAGTGTTTAATTTTGACCATTCTTGTGAGCATGTAGTAATATCTGAGGATTGTTTTAATTTCGCTTTTACCTGATAAATAATGGTATTGGACACCATTTTGTATTCTTACTGGCCATTTAGATAGTCTCTTTTTAGAGTGCCTGATCAAATATTTTCTTCATTTTTAAGTGAGTTTGTAATATTCTAACACTGACTTGTACATATTTGGGTACAGATATTGTATCATATTTGTTTTGAAAATGTTTACTCCAGCCACATGGTTTGCTTTTTCACTGTATAATGGTGACTATATATGAACAAAATGTCTTAATATAATGATATCTAATTTATTTTCATTTTATGTTTAGTGGGTTATTTTATTTTCATCCTGATTAAGAAACTTTTGACTTATTATTCTTAATTTCTTTGTTTGGCTTCTTCACAAGTTGTTTCATTTTTTATGGTGCATCTTAAATTAAAAGACAGTTGTTAATTTGAATATTTAATTCTCATTAACTTAACTGGAGGCTATAAAATCACAAATAATCAGGTAAGTTTAATTATGCCACACTGTCTAGTTTACTTTGTCAGATCTTTCCTCAGTTGTGGGACTGATGATCCCATGATACATTTTTCTCTAGACCAGGTGATAGCTTTTCTTTGGCAGAAAATGCATTCTAGAGGTCTTCTTTTTATTCCAGCACACATCAGTTAAATCTAATGACTAGAGGTATAATATGATAAATCTGCACTGTACTAAGCACTGCTTTCTCTAAATAGCTATATTGATTACTTTTCTTTTGATATACAAAGTCGTTCTTCAGTCTGGGTTGCCTTTAGCCGTTTAGGGAGTAAAATGATTTATGTAAAATTCTTTCTTAGTCAAACTAAATAGTAATGTCCTCCAATGGTGACAATAGGATATGTTTACCTATATCTATTTATTATTATTCATCTATTTAACATTGATTATGTAGCCATATGTTGATCAATTCAACTCTTCATTTGAGTTGAGTGTAATAATTGGTCATGGTATGTATCTGACTCAGCAAATTCATCTTGTTTGGTAAACAAGTCTGAGTTTTTCAAATTAATTATGAGGTTTTCAAAATAGAATTTGGGTTTGACACTATTTACTAGTGGTTTTTGCACAAAGTTAAATTAGAAGTTACTAAGTTCAAGATTCTACAGCAGAGTATTTAAAAATTATGGTGGAGGGATCATTCTGCCTTGATCGTTAAATTCTTTAGAGACATATGATCAGAGCTTTCAAGTTACTTCAACTGACAGCACACAAGAGGGAAAATACAAAATGATTGTGAGAGCGAGCGTTGGTAAGCAGATTGCCTAGTATTCAGTTAAACTGGGTTCCGGTCTAAGCTGTAATGCTCATGCCAGATTTAATTCTTCACAAGTCATGTCACTTTTTAGAGGCTCTTTCTCATCCAAAATGGTATTAGGATAAGCATTGTAAACATGGTATCCCTTTCAACTCCACAATTCTATCATTACATTAGTCCCTTGGTATTATTAAATTTGGTTAATTCAAAAGTAGATATACTTGTTCTTCATATTGGTCTCAATTTAGATATAATCATTTATCAAGTTGATATTTTAGTGCTAAATTTAAACATCAGTGTTATCTAATTGAAAGCACTGAAATTAAAAAGATATGGTTGATATGGCCTAGTGTTCAGGAGAATTGAGATTTTTCTCATTTGAGTGTTGTGGTTTTCATATGTGTATGTGCAGTTAACCCTTAAACAACATGGGCTTGAACTGGTAAGACTACTATGCTGGGATTTTTTTCTGCCTATGTCTCTTCTGAGACAGTGAGACAAAGCCCTCTGCTTCCTCGTCTTCCTCAGTCTACTCAACATGAAGATGAAGAGAATGAAAACCTTTATGATGATCCACTTCCACTTAATGAATAGTAAATAAATGTTCTTTTTCTTATGATTTTCTTAATAACATTTTCTCTTCTCTTGCTTACTTTATTGTAAAAATACAGTATATAATACATATGATATACAAAATATGTGTTAATCAACTGTTTATGTTATCAGTAAGCTTCCAATCTCTTAGGACTTATGTTTTGGTGGAGTCAAAGGTTGCATGCAGATTTTTGTGCAGAAGACCAGTTTGTTTGTTGACATACACATATATACTATATGGGGGGGCATATGTATACATATGGTTATATCATTATATATAATGTATAGTATACATAGTACTTCTGTTCTTTGCTGTCATTGGGTGCAATTGCAAATAACCACTTGCACATTTTGAGTTAAATGAAAAATAGAAACCATGTATTGTGTTTTAAGTTAGGATAATTTATTACACAATAAACAGAAATCTCATAGTTATGAAAACATCAAGAGACCTGAAACTAACAATATGGAATGATAAATATTCTTAAAATTGTAGATACTAAATGCTCTTGATCTTGGCTTGGTCCAGGATTATCTTGTCTGTTTGAGTTACTGCAGTCAGGTTGGTTCATCTTCCTATGGTCCCAGATGTTGGGTTCCCAAGTCAGGATTTCAGTAGAAGCCAGAGAATCCATATCCTCCATAGCATGATGGGCGGCAGCAGCCATATCCGTAGCCTCCATACCCAGAGCCATATCCACAGCCTCCATACCCAGAGCCATATCCGTATCCGCCATAGCCACAGCCATAGCCCAGTCTGCGGAAGCTGCCACATCCACAGCCATAGCCATAGCCCAGGCCACTGAAGCCTCCACAGCCATAGCCCAGTCCTCCGTAGTAGCTCATGGTGTCAAGGTTGGGGAGTTTGGTTTGCTGTTCAAGGCAAGATCCTGAATGTGAATGTCAGCATGTGTAGACAGATGCTTATATACCCTGGTCAGAGCATGAGATAAATCACATGTATACCCTTCTGTTGTGTCATTCTTTGAATTATTTTTATTGTTGCAACCTATTAATCCACTGTCTTCTGACACAGAGAGGCCATCACTCTATTAAAATAGTTCAGCTTACTTAACGTCCTACTTAGGATGTTCTTGAACTTACTGCTTTGCTTTTATGGGAAGAAATGACTGACTTTTCAAAATATACACATTCCAAACGCTAAATGGAATTGCCTATTACCAGATATATTGCATCATCTACATTTAATGGTATTGCTCTTATAATTAGGCATTTCCTCTGTTCCGTCATCTCTTGAATTCATAATTTTATATCCAACTAAATTTGCAACTATTTGTTCAATTTATAGCTGTTAAACCCCTATATATATATTTTTTAAAAGCAAGTGTATTTATCAAGGTGAGATCTTAAGAAAGTGTCTATATTCAGAATACATAAAAACATTTGATTTTTTTTTAATAAAAAGGCTGTATCTCTCATAAGCGAACCCTGAACAATTACCATAATACTATAAAAAAGGAATTGGCAGTACAGGGAAACGGCCAGAAGAGGCAGGAGGTGCAAACTTCATCAATATGGGTATCTGACCTAAAACCAGGTGTAGTGGGGACCAAAGTGAGGCCCAAATTTTGCCTGTACAATGACCATTTGAATACCTAACACTGAATTGTACCCATTTTTATAATGAAAATTTAATAAATAAATAAATAAGTAGATAAATACAAATTTTAAAAGGTTGTAATGATCTGCTGTGTTCAATAGCCAATGGACTCAAGAGAGGGTATGTGTTAATTTATAGCATTTGAATATAATATTTGCACTATTTTTGGCTTTCCACGCCAGCATCAGAACCTTTTGTTTACAAAATATATAACAATTAGTTTTAGATATTGAGGACATAAAACCCATCTCCCATGCAGTCTTATCAGAGTAGCAGTTCATTTCAAATCCTAAAACTCTCTCTCATAATTGGTTCTATTAAAAGTCCTACTAAAACTGCAGTTTGCCTCTACCTCTGTTTTTGCATACTCCAGCCAATTTCTGCTTTTCTTTTCCCTTCTTCAACAATGTATATATGACTTCTATTTCTATTCTTATTTTAGTTTTCATTCTTTTCTGTTTTTCTCAATACCTACTAGGAAAAACCAAGCAGAAATTTAACGTTGACAATATTTTCCCCCTCTGACCTCCATTCACTTATTCCAGTCAATGCCTCTTTGTTTCTACCTCCTTTTCATATTCATCATAGTATCTTTCCTTTTGTTTACAATGTCTATTCTGTACTCTTTAACCCTGAGGAAATTTTTACTCATCACTAGCCTATTCATAGTTAATTAAAGTAACTTTTTAGCGGTTGAATTGGCAGTTGAGGGAAACTGCCAGGAGAGGGAGGAGCACACCTCATCAACAAGGGTACTTACACAATGAACATTTTATACCTAACCCTAAATTGTATCCCACATCTTTAAAATAAAGAAAATAAAGAAAGAAAATAAAAATATACACTGACTCCTAATGCTTTCTGAAATGTTAAAAATGTTAAGAAGCTTTCAAAAGGATGGGCAATGGTAAAATGACACAAAAGTGAGAAATATATTTGAGGAAGTTTAGCTTGGGCTTCATAGAGTCCTTCAGCTCACTTTGAGTTAGTCAACTAGACACAACATTGACCCTATTGTTCATTAATTTCCATGAAGCACCTGCCTTTTGACTTGGAACACCAAAAATGTATTTATAGGAAATTAAAGACATCCTTGAACTCAGACAGAAATCAGTGATCTATGAAAGTTTAGGTTACAAAAATATTTTAATATTATGCCAGAAGTGTCACATGTTGTTCTTCTCATTCCAATTATCTTGATAATTATTTTCCTTTGCAACCTTGTAATACTTTTCTCAAGCTGTGATGATATTGACCTGTATGAAAATAGAATAGTTTTAAATGAAGTTCAGATATATGGGTCAAAGGTTTTTTAATGGAGTTATCAAACTTTATCTTTCCCTCCTCTGTGAAGGTACAAAATATAAAAGGAGAAATGAAAAGAGTTGAATTTTATTTTATTGTTTCTATCTTTGTATTGTATAGGTGAATCCAAATTTTCCTAATAGACATGATTCTGAAAATTGAGTTTTAACATTATTTATTCTTTATTTGCCTTCAAGGACAGCTAAGTTAATAATTAAGAGAGGATATTAATCCCATACATTCTGCTATAAAAATGAAAACACTTATGGCACTATTTTGAGAACTTTCCAGATGGCATTCATATGTGAAAGCAGACAATGAAAGAAAATCAGAATGACCCAGTACACCATTAGGATTCAGATAAACTACTTTCAGAAAACTGCTTGGCGTTTCCTCATCTGTCCTACAGGGGGAAGCACTGTACACTCGGTAATGTTAGGTCCTGGTCTAAGGTCTGTTATGGTCCTTGTATTATTTAATTTCACAGCTCAAACAAATAAATAACAACAACAACAACAAAACTCATACAATTTATACCATCGTGTGAACATTCCATTCAATTTTGGAAAAAGCAATGCACTTTTAGATATTTTATATATTCAATTATGTGAAATAGCAAGAATAAAATGCCTGCTCTTTGGTCAGTGATTAAAAATCCACTTTACAAAAAAATAAAAAATAAAATCCTCTTTTGGATGAATGATGATTCTTATCAAGTAAAGCTGCTGAATGTGGAAGGATCTGTTTCTTGACTACATCTGGGTGTTATTTTTCATTTACAATTGTAAAAGGCTTTAATGTTATGAGGATGATGATGAAAGTAAAAGAAAGAATAGAAGCATTGGATGCCACAGAAAAACTGTGACTTTAAATAACTAACAATTTAAATACTACATATATTTTAATTACATAACTTGAAATACTCTTAGTAAGCCTATAACAACTATTTTCATGAGAATAAGAAGTTAGATGATGCACTAGAGGTCAAGGAATAGTACACATAACCAAAAATTTCACCAAAAAATACTTTTCTTTTCTAGAAGTTTAGAGAACCTTTTTGGTCTACATCTATTATTTTATATTTTCTTACCACAAAAGGACTGAATAAGCAAAAATTTTGAAAGAAGGAATGAGTTATTTATGCATTTTAGACTGTATTGATAAATATGTTTGTACAAAAAGTAAAAGGTGGGCATTCATTTTATTTATTAGCACAAATATATAGTTAAAATGTGATTTTCATTATTGTTGAGTTTGTCTAAAATTATCTAATTAAAAGCTAGAAAATGAAAACCTTCACATCTATTTGAAGGATTATTAGTCAATTTAATCTGAATGTATTTCCCTTTTAATATCTCTCTCTATATACATATCTATCACCTTATCTATTATTAACTAAATATTTAACACACAATAGAGCATATTAATTTTCACAATGAAAGTTGAGTAGTGTTTATACTTAGTGACATATATAATAGGGCCAAATGAATTATACAAAGCTATATTTGCTGTGTCTTAAATTAAGAGGCTTTATTAAATCCAGAAGACAATGGATACAAACTTGTATAAGTATAAATGTGCTGAAAGTCTTAGGTCCTAATTATTTTGAACAAATAGACCCAGCATAATTTTGGTAAGCCTAATGATTTAAATCAAGTTTAGTAAATTTACTCATGAAAATAAATATCAGATTCATAAGGGCAAATTTTAACAGTAGCTAGAGAATAACAAGATCTTCCATAACAAGATGGCTGACTACAGACATATCCGTAGCATCCATAACCTCAGCCATAGCACAGTCTCTGAAAGTTGCCACATGCATAGCCATAGCCATATCCCAAACCACAGACATCTCCACAGCCATAACCCAGGCCTCTGCAGTAGCTGCTTTAGTAACTCATAAGATCAGGAGTTAAAGACTTGGTTTGTTATTGAAGGTGTGCTGAGTATGAATCTCAACACCTAAGCTATGGGTGTGGTAAATCATTCAGACTTACCTCATTTCCATTCCTCAGAAGAAACTGCATGAAACAAATATTAGTGGTTCTTTTGTTTTGCTTAATATGCATGGAGTTACCTTCCATCACAATAAAACTTTTAAATTAATTTTTAATTCAATTAAGATTTCTCTGATTACATTGTATCTATAATGAAAAATATTATTTTCAATTTCAAAGATTATTCTTACATCAGGATGCACATAAACTCCATTGCATTTAGGCTTCAGAGACTCTTTATAGTCCAATGAAGCAGCAGTATGACAGCATCATCAAAATTATGATTCTTTCCTGCATATAATTTCTGTATTTTTCCATGTTCATGACTACCCCTTATCGCCTGCAGCTAGCAGAGCCTTAACACTCCAAAATCCATGCCTTATTTAAAACCATAATCACTTAAATATCAGATATTTTGACATGTTAATATATAAGCAAATTTTACTTTATTTCTATGCAGTTTGAGACCAAATGAGACCAATCTTGTTACGAGTGTCTCTCATGTTTTGTGCAACTTAGAATTTTTTCCTATTTTTTAAAACAAAGATAACATTTAAAATATTGATACATCCTTAGTTAAAGAGTTTCCAAGCTTCAGGAGAGAGAAAAGAAAGAAGAAGAGGAGGAGAAGGAAGAGGGAGAGAAGAAGAACAAGAACAAGAAGAACAAGAAGAAGGACAAGAATAAAAACAAGAAGGAGGAAAAGAAGAGGAAAAAGAGAGAGGTATGCCCTGTATTTGAACCTAATCAACAAAATAGAGCCCCAGTTATACAAATGTTGATATTCCTTTACAATTGTAATGCCACCAAGATCAAGAGTACATTCTAGCAGTTTAGAGCTGCTCTTGGGGATTCAGAATTATGAAACCATTTCAGAAGGAAATAAAGTGACATATTACTCTTCTTGTGTAGGTATTGGGGAG